GAATGCCCCACGTAGGTCTCGAACCCCCGACCCAATGGTGGAGGGCTAGTGGTAGTGATGGCACATGTTGCATTGTATTTTGCAGAACTGTAGTTCTTTGAAATAGGAAGGAGAGTAGTATTCTTCTGAAGGGTATCAAACCAGCGCCTACCAGCTGTTCGGTCAGCCACTCTACAAATTTCAGTTAAAGGGAAATTCCTGCTAGTTCAAAGCTAAGGCAACCACAATGTACAATTAAAACCTGCCACAGCACGATAAAGCCCTGCCATTATACATGAATTACGACCATTCACAGATTTATCTATCAGCTGATTGAATTAATCAGTTCGTAGAACTCGTTTTTTTAAAGGACAGTCTTTAAAAGAGGCTTAGTTCTAAGATATACAATAAATTTCCTGTCTTCTGAGCCTTTATTTGCATAAAATTAAATCTATAGAGCTAGGGAAATAGCACTTGTCCATTCAACCAAAACTCCATTATCTGCTATTTTTAGTTTGGGTTTAAAATTTACCTGTGCTAACATGAACTGAATTACCCTTCCTTTGGGGAGTTGACGAACTGGGGCAATGTATTGACTAATATTATACAGAGATCAATCTTAGACCTTAGTCAAGGCTGAGTATTTTCTCTAAATGCACTTTAGAGTTTGCCCTTGTACACTTTCTTATGTACATAAGTGTTGGCTTCTACCAACCCTTTATAAAATTAATGAAAAAAGCTTTGTTAAGATATAAACCAGGGTCATATTTTAAACATGTATTCACATATTCCTGTATTTGATATCAACGTAATAGACCAAAAATGTGATGTTTCTACTTTCAAGGTAGATAAATATTTAGGTAGGAAGAGTTTTTTCTTTCTTTTTGCGAAATATTTTTACAAACGTTATTTTTAACTAAATTATAAATTCCATGATCTAGGTCTTGCCTGGTATTCTTGCTACCTGACTTTCGAAGGCTTTCGCTTACTCTGTTGAAAGTCTGTGTATATATATATTTAATGCATCATACTTCAAATTTACAGCAGGGGAACATAATCTAAGGAAGATCGACATTTGAACTATCTTGAGGGGTTATTTGTAGGGGATCATGTATATAAAAAAAATATGTCGGCACGGATATCATTCTGTGTACTTACTTTTATCTAAGCTCAAGCTTACAGTCAGGTTAGAGACACAATAATTTGCAAAATATATATAGGTCAGTTGTTTGGCCTTTAGACCAATTCTGAGGTTCACTGGCCATGACCTGTCGGGCAAAGTGTTTAAGCTGTTCTATACAGTGACCCATCGTACAGCTTGAACTGTGTTATATTGCATTAAATTGTCGCCATGTTCATTGTTATCGATGAAGGCTTGTTTTTTTTCTTTATTTAAAAAAAAAAGATTGTTCAGTTCTGGAGATATGTTAAGTGATGTTTATACAGTCCTCATATGTTTGTCATTTTGTAGATTTCACAATACTTACTTATCATTACAAAATGCCGATGTAGCATGACATAGTCCACGGTTCATTTCATCATTATGGAAATATGAACCTCCCCATGGTGAAATGCACTGGTACATTGTACAAATATTTCTACCTTGTTTCCACCTGTTTGATTATAGGAATGTTCATGCTCACCTTTATTTCTATCTCAGTAAAATTAGAGGGGTCCTGCTCTGTATATTTATTATAATCTGCAACATTTATATTGTACCCTGAATAATGTACAAAATTACTCTGGACACTTTAAAGTACTATTATCAGTCTAGAATAACACAAACAATATATATCACATATAGATTTACAATTCACATACTCATTGTTGTCCTTCGTGTGAACAACTCTCAATCTTCTGTCATTCACTGTATGAATATCTATGCTATACATGTAACTCTAAATTGCATACGTAGAAATTAGTTTTCTTCTTGATTGTGGAGACCGTTTTCAATTTTCTGGTAATTTACATACAATGTATATATAGCAGATCAGTCTATTTCAAAAAGTAGCATCTATATTCCAAAATACTGGTTTCAATAAGTATAAAGTAAATGATTTTGAGATGCAGATCATAGATTCTGTATCGGATTGCTGTGATTTTGACAGCTGATAAATACTGACAGCTCCAGAAAACAGGAAAAGCTGTTATTTTTATAACCTTGTATATGTGAATGTCAAAATTTTGTACTGCATCCTGTATTTTAAGGTAAACTGTGCTGTGAATAGAGCGCTGGTGAACATATGTGATGTGCTCTCTAAAGTGTAGGAAACCAGTGTTGTAGACTATCTACAGTTAGTTAGTGAATCCGAGATACCGAGGAGAAGGGTTTGGTTTGTTGGTACTTTACGTCCTGTTGCAGCTATATGGTATTAAATGACGAGTCTGGTTTTGGTATTCGGGGAGAACTGGAGTACTGGGAGAAAATCATAGTGATCTTAGATTGTCAGACACCTTAAACACTCGGTAGGCAGTAGTGCTAACAACAGGTATTACCGTAAGTGAATGTAGCTTGTTTCTTAGAAAAGACGATAAGTTCTGTCTTTATTTTGGTTTAGCAAATTTGGGTATACATCAGAGTATTGATGTCAGTTAGACAAGCTTAAAAGACTTCCTGCTATGGTGTGTTCCCGCTGTGTTTGGGTTTAATAACCGTACATATCTGTGTGTCATTATAACATTGACAGATCATAATACATAGATTTTATTGGATTTCTTTGTGTAAGTCAGTACTCAGGTTGCATGCACCAAGTTCAGATGAGCTGGATCAATGACCAGGTTTTGGTTGTAGTAAAAATTAGACAGACCACTAACAGAAGCTACAATATTGTTCTGAACATTTGTAGAGTGGACTAGCTGACTTCTCTGTAGGCTCAGTGAGCAGGTCGGCCGCCCGCCCAAAGGTGATGAGCTGTCGTGCGTGACAATGTAGTCTATACAGGTTCAAGCCGCTATACAGACGTTGGTCTGATCGTAGATTACACTTGTTTCTACGTATAGTTAAATTCAGATGCCATTCAAGCTAGAATGTCATATTAATGAATAAAATATTGCAGAAATTTCAAATTGGTTCACAAAAAGACATACATATTTAGGAGCAAAACACTTGAAAGCATGGTGATATTAATGTATAAACTCTGACACATGTGATAATTTGTATAGAAGGAGATTTTGTAACTTCTGTAACGGAACTGCACTTAGTTGATCATTGAATTTGCTACCAGGTGCATAGCTCAATTGTTAGAGCGTCCCTCTAGAGTTCGGACGTTCTTGGGTTTGAATCCCGATCTGGCTGTGCATTTCTGTCTCCTGTTACAAAATTGGCTAGCTTGCCAACCCTTGTTTGAAGCACTGGGTAAGTGCTTGGCCAGGGATTCCCAAACCTAAGTTGTAAACAGTTGCGTCTTTTGGGGGAAGACTTAGAAAAAGGAGGAAGGAATGTAGCAGAACTGGACTTGGTCGATTGTCAGTGACCAGGTAGCTCAACTATTAGAGCGTCCGTCTAAAAATCGAAGGATCTCGGGTTTGAATCCCGGTCTGGCCATTGCATTTCTCTTTTTCCTGTTACACTTCTATACAATGTTTATGAATTTGGGCCGAATGCTGACTTCTCTATTTGTATTCTTTTGAAGCAGAGAAAACAGAAACCTCTTTTTTTAATAATTACATTTGAACTATGCAAAACGACCCCAGTTTGTTTAAAAAGGGCCTCTGTTATACATTGATACATGCAGGGAGAACACTGCATTTAGGCGTAGGTATATTTCTTTAAGGTTGAGTATAGCAGGTTCTGTAAGCTTACACTTAAAGCTAAATACTTAAATCCTGATTCTAGAAAGAGATCCAGGATTGTATTGACGGGAGGGTAGTGGCATGGGTTACTTTAGTTTGATTTTAAGGAGATGAGGGATTGAGGACCCGTACCATAGTTTGATTTTAAGGAGATGAGGGATTGAGGAACCCGTACGTTAGTTTGATTTTAAGGAGATGAGGGATTGAGGACCCGTACCATAGTTTGATTTTAAGGAGATGAGGGATTGAGGAACCCGTACGTTAGTTTGATTTTAAGGAGATGAGGGATTGAGGACCCGTACCATAGTTTGATTTTAAGGAGATGAGGGATTGAGGAACCCGTACGTTAGTTTGATTTTAAGGAGATGAGGGATTGAGGACCCGTACCATAGTTTGATTTTAAGGAGATGAGGGATTGAGGAACCCGTACGTTAGTTTGATTTTAAGGAGATGAGGGATTGAGGACCCGTACCATAGTTTGATTTTAAGGAGATGAGGGATTGAGGAACCCGTACGTTAGTTTGATTTTAAGGAGATGAGGGATTGAGGACCCATACTTATTACCACAGAGGCTGGTACCTGTGACCACCTCTTGTTTGTTTACCTGTGGATTTTATATTTATAAGATATACACATGTATAAGTAGAGAAATAATTAAATCTGGCAATTTGTCAACACAAAATCATTAAACAATTACGCAGCAAAGACACAACAAAGTAATTAGATCATTTATTACCCCAGTGTTAAAACATATCTCCTCCATCGGTTTGCAGTCAAAGACTATATTTCAGAATCCTTCTTTGTCATTACTACTCGTAAGACCTGTATAATTATTCAGCAGGAGTGTGAAATCTCAATTTTTGGGAATGGTGTCCATGCTATGATCATCCGTAATCTTTCTACAAACATCGTCGAAAAACCCACGTTCGATTGAACTAGCATTTTTCTGTAGGATCAATAACCCGCTCAAGTTCAATTTTGAACCAAATATGAAAATCAATATGACCGCCAATGGCCATCTTGTGTATCGTGGAAATCACATGGTTCCTTTGATAACCTTTTAATGCATGCTTTGAATTTCATGTAACATGTTATACCTGCTCAAGTTTGATTTTGACCCAATTCTGAATATCAACATGGCTGCCAGGAGGGGCAGGCGACACATCCCCTACAGTGGATTTCTGTTTTGATGACGAAGTAACATGTTTCAATGTTTTTGTGTGTTGTAGGTTAATATTTATTCCTATTGGAAAACACTTTGGAATCAGAGTCAAGAGGCCGAGGAATGCTACACCAAATCCTGACTTGGAAGTAGAATATAAAAAATCTAAATTTCCTAAAGATGAAAAAGTAAAGGTAAGACATTGTTTTAAAGTTGGCTATACATGTTGGTGACTTGAACAGTGATATTTCCTGAACAAACTTATACAGTAAAACATGTTAATAACAAATCCATATGGGATCTGAGAGTAAGATTTGCCAAGTTTGATATTTTTTTTATTAATGGATATTTTTGAGGTAGTGTCCTGTCTGTGGACATACTTGTGACTTCTCGGTAACACCAGCATGTTTAATATATATAATACTATAGTTACTATTTTAATATAACTAATTCATCATCAGTACATTTAAATGTAATTTATTAAAATTTATTAAACTTATAAATTTATATCATGATGTGAGACTTAACGTACTTGCTAATAAATGTATATATTGTATACCGGAAAAATTGTCCTCACAGTTATTTTCGCCCTTTTCTTCCTCCGTAATAAGGCTGAATTTAACATTACAGTAAACATGAGTAATGAGTAAATACAGATTTTACCAGCGTAGGGTGAACGATTAACTGAGCGGAACGTTATAGTATACTACAGTATATATAGTATTATATCTGCTATCAAATGATAAGAACTACAAAACACAACAATATTAACATAGAAAAAGTATTATGGTCCTAAAATGGAGGTAAAGCATTACAGGTCAAGTGCAAGGTAAACAATTTTTATTTTAAAATTTGAATCATAGGTATACATTAGCTAAGCCTAACAGAGACAGAGTGGCCAATCATAGGTTAGCTAGCCTGACAGAGTAGCCCCAGTTTAGTGAACTGCTGAAAGGACATCACATGTACAGTTATCTCAAGGATCCCCGTACTACTGCCAAAAACTGTGACGATGCACAGGGAAATGATTCGGCTGGCATAAATATACCTTTGGTAATTCATTTCTGAAAAGAAAACCGTACTTTGTGGCACATGTATGAAATACAATAGAAATGAAATAAACATAATCAAAAACAGCGTTTGAAGTGAAAAAACACAATCAGCAGGGCTAGACTTGGATTTGAACCCTGGACGTAAGATTGTTAGACTATCTCTCTCATCAACTACCTGGTCAACTGTCCTGGCCCAACTGTGCTAGTTATATCCAAAATGGGGGAGTTTACTGTATATATAGGGAAACATACAGTGCAGTGGTGCAGGAATCCGTAACATTAGCTATTCTTTCCCTAGCTTGGTAAAATTAAGGTTAGGAAATACAGTTTTGAGGACCAGATTTAACAAACGGAATAAGACAAAACCCATTGTAGGATATTTTGTTTTCTACAATATACAAACTTACATTTCTATACAGATGTTTGTGCTGTGCTTCAGAACAATTTCTCTAAACTGAACACATGTAGGTACCATTAGAGTAATATTTCACAATATATGTGCATAGAAATTAAACAAAGTTGAAGGTCTGGTTTGTACAGGTTTCCTGATTATACTGGTTCAATGTACATTACAATTGTGTAAAGTGTGGCATCTATAGAATTGAACGTGTCTGGGTCCACTTGTTTAAAGCCCAGTTATAATTAACTTCATGAATTTTTAGGTCACCTGAGCTTTGCTCAAGTGACCTGTTCTGATCGCTTTCCGTCCGTCGTTGTCCGTCGTGCATAACCTTTTTACATTTTCGACTTCTTCTCAAGAACCAGTGGATGGAATTTTTCCAAACTTGGTCAAAATCAACCTTGGTAGATTAGGCTACAAAATTGTAAAATTGGGATACTTAACCCAACCCCAGGGGCCTGGGCGGGGCCCCTAAGGGAAAATTAACCAATTTTTCAAAAATCTTCTTCTCCAGACTCAGAGGTACTAAAGTCAATTTCTCTGCATGGATGGAAAGATCATCAGGGGCTTTGTTTAAATTGTAAATTTCAGTATTCCCCAGCAATCCGTTCTCTTTTGTGGGGGAGGGGGGTAAAATTTACTTTAGTTTATATGGGGAAATAACACTTTTGGGTATTTTGTCCATTTTCAGCAGGAAATTATTCAAACTTGGTTTAGAATGATTATGATGCCAGATGACAAAAAGATGGTATGAGAAAACAAGATCCTGCACCATCCACAGGGGCTGGAGGGGTGGGGCCCAAATGGGGATTATAGTTAAAAGTTAAAAAAATCTTCATCAGACTCGGTTACCTTAATTACATTAATTGTAAATTTCATTATCCCCCAGGTCATCTGCTCTCCCTTGAGGAGAGGGTATAATTCTCAATAGCAAAATAATTTGTTTGAATAGTTTTTAAAGTTCTTATCCTTTGGTGACATGACAAGTATTGTATTTCACTTTGTTTACATATTGTTTCCCACATTTTGTACATCTCAGCAATGAATTGAGCTACCAGTACCTATATAATATAACTCAGGTGACTGCTAAGACCCTTGGGCCTCTTGTTTATGTAATATTTAAAATCACTGTTTATGAGAAATCTTTCATATTATATCAACATTTTAAAGGTTCTTACCTTCAGACAAAAAATTGAATCCCTGTAACGCAACTTTGATTATGAATTTAAAATTTTGAAAAATGTAATAGAAGATTATTTGTGTGAAATATGATCAGCTAATCGGTCAACAAACGAGCCCTGATTTATACAGGTGTCTCATTACATACAGGTGTCTATTAATTACATACAGGTATCTCCATTACATACAGGTTTCTCTATTACATACAGAGGTCTTTATTACATACAGATGTGTCTCTATAACATACAGGTGTCTCCATTACATACAGATGTATCATTACATACAGGTGTCTTCATAGCATACATGTGTCTCCATAGCATACAGCTGGTGTGTCATCATATATATACATACAGGTGTCTCCCTACCATACTGATGTGTCCATTACATAAAGGCATCTATAACATACAGGTGTCTCCATTACATACAGGTGTCTCAATTACATACAGGTATCTCCATTAAATACATGAGTTACTTTACATGTACATAAACATACAGTGACAGTAACACAGGGCCACTGGATATAGCAGCCTATAGTTAAAAATATGTTGTATACAGGTTTCTAGATTATACAGTCAAACCTGTTTTAAGCAACTGTTAGTTTGAAGTTCGAAAGTGGTCTTTTAATGCAGATGGTCTCTTCAATATAGGGTAAAAATCAAATCACTACAATGATTGACATTAAGAGGCCTCTTAAGAAAGATGGTCACTTAGAAGGTGGTCACATGAGAGGTCACATGCAGTAATATGCATGTGACCTCTATATTGTTTATGGCTTACAATATCTGTCTGTACCAAGTACTATGCACTATAGATTTCTAAGTAAGCTACACTAGCATTAATTGTATATAGATTTCTTTTTGAAATAAAACAAACACAAGAGAGTTTAGACCGATAGATACCTTCAGTCTTGAAGCAGCTACAATCAACTAACTGTTGAAATGTTGATGAAGCACCTGTGCACTTCATCAGCCAGGAAACTTTTGGCTTCTTGCCATGCATATATGGTGAGCCCTGAAATAACAATAGCAGCAACATGGAAAGTACAATTGATTTAATATTTGTGAAACGTGCGAATTTTCCATCCCCTACTGGTACTTCCACGGGTCAGGTTTGCATATGTGCATCTTTTTCTGACATAAAGCCAAATCTTATGCATTTGTATGCAAGTACCTCTTTGGAGGGGGGATTATTGCACACTGTAATCAGGTCTTGTGCCCCATTAATATGCAGAGTTATGGTCCTTTGATTACTAAGTGTCCCCTCAGCCTTTAAAATCTTATAATCTACAATGGTATCAAAATATATCTTTTGCAAATATATCCTTGCAGAGCATGGTAAAGAAAACCAGTTTAACTGAACGAGAGATACAGAGATGGTTTCGAGTGCGGAGACAACAGGGCGCCCCCGGTAATATGCAGAAGTTTTGTGAATGCAGGTTAGTAGTTATAACGAGAGAAGCGTAGTATCGGCAAGTAAGTATGTACAACCCCAAATTGCGTATTCTCAATGTACAACAAACCATCATGTAGAATTACAGAGCACCTTGAGATCATTCTTCAGGGCCTTTGTTTTACCAAATGTGTTATTATGGGGAGCATCTGTCCACACTTTGGTTTTCCACAGGATATCACCAAATTCAGTGGAAAGTTGTTCAATATTCATATTATACCAAGTCAAAGGCTTTGGAGTTGAACAAAGTTTGTGCCTGGGATTGGACGGAAGTATATTGTTCCGCCCCGTGATACTCTCGTTATGTTTTCGTTACACTTAATGTGTGGGCTACCTTACGTAAATACTTGTATAACACACATTTAATTACAATAAATTGCATTCAAAATTTGTTCTAAATGCCAACCAAAATCTATTTTAAGCTTCAATTATCTTAAAATTTAATCTACAGCCAACCATCCTTGATTTAATGTTTGAAAGCACTGAAAAAATTGTGTTAAAAAGGATTTTGACATTTTGTTAATAATATCATTTTATTTCACCAAATGTTGGTAACAGAGTAAAACAAATCTAAAAAAAAAAAAAAAAAATATTTGGAATGAAGATTTGTTGCATATTTTTCTTGAAATTGAATTTCTAGTTTAGAATCTGTTGTCATTTTAATTTCAGATGAAGAACCTGTCTTTTGATTTGTTTTTGAGTTCCTGGTTATCAGTTTGTATTTATGTACAATTGATTCTTCTTTGTTTTGATGTTAGAGTTAACATTATGGGTTTACAAATAAATATTTAACAAAACCCAATAACAGATAAGGAAGTACAACATTAAGGCTATCCACATCAAATTAATTGTTTCCTTATCCAACTGATTTACATATAGAAAAATGGTCCTGAGATTTTATTTTCTCATTGACACTATTTGCATTTATTATTTTTTAAAACATTTTTGATTTAAATAAAATATCTGGTGCTTAAGTAATTTGTCAGTGTACAAGAAACATATGCTTTTTAGGTTTGGCCTGATAAAAGTTAACAACTCCTGAACATTTCTCATGAACGTTATATTGATTGTTGAACAGTACATTTCAGACTAGTGTCTAGTGGCCTGCCCACTTGTACCTAACACCTCCCCTGGCTCGGCCTTAGTCTGCCAGCCTCGGGGGAATGTATAGCAAACCCTGCCATCATGTTTGGATCAGATACATTGTTTTATAAGTGTGATATATGCTATATAAAGCATATGTATGTATGATCAATACTTATGTGCACAAACATTCATAAAAAAATGATATGGAATTTTGCAGAGGTATCACTCATCAAATATATTTCAGAAGCTATATGGATTACAAAGCATCAGCTTTTAGCAATGACATTGTAAAGTCCTACTGGTATAAATGATAAACCAGTTTAACTCGATTCCCATTTATTTAGGATGAGATATTCCAAGTGTGATAGAAATTCAAGTAAGGGGAGGGGCATTCAAGTTTGAGGAAGCATTCATATTTGGGGGAGGAGACATTCAAGTCGGGAGGAGGGCACATTTAATTTTTGGATACATTTGAAATCGGGTTGAGGGAAATTCAAGTAAGGGAGAAATGAATTCAGGTTGGTGGGGGAGACATTCAAGTTGAGGGGNGAGACATTTCAAGCTGGAGGGGGGCATTTAAGTAGGTGAAATCTTCCAGGTATAAGCAATATCAATATCATGTTTAATGTTTAATAAGATATTTATCTCAAAGTTCAAATTAAAATCACTGTATCTTTTTTTCTTGTCTAGAAATATTTCATATTGACTTGGTGACCAGATAAGTTTTTTTGATTCAATATGTTTTAAGTTATTTCTGTTGACTGACTAATATTTGTATTTGTTCTTTTCACAGCTGGAATTTCCTGTTTTACGGGTCTGTGTTTGTGTATGGAGTTTACATTCTGTGGGATGTAAGTATACAACAAGTAGACGTAAGGACACCTAACATCCCCATTGTAACCAGTGTGTTGGAGACCTGTCAGTTATATTAACACTCTCGCTAAACACACTCTTTCAGTATCTTAACTTTTAGTTGCTGCCACAGGGCTTTTTCTATGCCAAGATGAGATTCTAACAAAAAGACCAATTTCACTAACTCCAATCTTTTGTAATCACTTCCATATTAAATTGTTTGTACAATGAACACCGGTCTAAACTAACACTTTTAGAACCGATTTCTCGTCCAGAATACACAGGTATTTCAATTACAAAGGTTCAATTTACATAGAAGTTTAGGTTCACTTTGATAGGGTTTTAGTGAATGGTTATCCAGATTATACAACATCTGGATTAGATAGGCCTGAACTCATTCACCCCTGGATACACATTTGAACTCTTCCAATTCAAAGGTTGGAATCGTTCATTATGAAACTTTAGGGGTGAATAAGTTTAAACTGTATACTTGAATAACCCAAGTTGGGGAAATATTTACAATAATATAGTAAAGATTGAAAATAAATAATACTATAAAGATTGAAATATGAATGAAATAAATTTGTACAATGTTTGTTTTTCCAAAACAAAGGGTCATGTAAAATCCCATTCTAAAATTTGAAATTCTGTTTTCATGAATTGATAGAAAAAGTCCTGTAGTCACTCCATGCTTTATACTGCTCTATACAGGAACCGCATCACTTGCTCAAGTGATAACGACACACACACCAACCACACACACACATATATATATACACAGAGTTACCCGCTCTTCTGGTTCATATTTATATCTATATTTGTGTACTCAACCAAGCTTTAGATTGTACTTTTACTTGATTTCTTCTAGTTGTTACTGGGGCAGATCTAGGATTTAAAATATAGCTTAAATATGCTGAAAATTCTTATCAGCAGAAATACTTCAAACAATTTCCGTAACAATCGGCATTAGTTTTGATTAGTGTTTTAGTTGATTTCAGGGTCTTTTTTAACAAAAAAAGGTGGGGAGAATACTAGCAGAGGATAGACCTAGAACTGCCCTTGTGTTGAGCTTATCTTGTTGGCAAGAGAGTTGTGAACATGCAAGATTGGGTGAAAATAGATATCCATGTAAGATTTTACTTGCATGTATAATTTGAGTACAAGAATAGTAGTGAATGCTAATTATATGTAGCTGTTGGTTTCTTATTGATAGATCTAGACACATGTTCAGGTTGTGTTAATCATGCTAGCTTTGTTTTATAGATACATCAGTTGGTGCTTTTTTTGAACCTTGATGACAATGGATTACATGTGATCAAATTAAATATATCTTACTTTGGTTTGCTATCTTCATATTTAAAAAAAAAATCCTTGCATAAATTTACTATTAGGGAAGACATGATATTGATTCAAACAAGGAGAAGATCATGAATTAGGCTGAGGAGTGTTCATGACTCGAAGGTGTGGTGTTAGTTGAGATTCTGATTAGTTAAAATGCTGGACTTTTAAATGTTGAGTCATGATCACAGGATTTGAACATGATCCTGATTTAACATATTTAATACATCTTTAGTTGAGAAAAAAATGTTAAGACAGAAAAATGATTCTTTGTGGAAGTGGAATGATTTCTCTCTTGACTCATTCACCCCTGAAATTTCGTAATGAACTATTTCAACCTTTGAATTGGAAGAGCTCAAATGCGTCTTTACGGGTGAATGGGTTAAGGGTCCCTGTCCCACTGCACTTTAGTTTTTACCGCAGCGTCCGTCTGTCAACTTTTCCTTTAAAATGCTACTAGTCCTGAACGGCTAGGTAGATTTTGACTAAATTTGGTTTCGAGCATCCTTAGGCCAAGGGGACTCAATTTTGTATAAATGGTGGGTGTGCCCCCCCTGGGGGCAGAGGGGTGGGGCCCAAGGATTAAGGGATTTTATCCTAATTAAGTCTGGAGCATCCTTGGGCCAAGGGGACTCAATTTTGTATAAATGGTGGGTGTGGCCCCCCTTGGGGCAGAGGGCCGGGGCCGAATAGGGGAAATAGAGGTAAAACCTTTAAAATCCTTCTCCTACCCTAGGGATTAAGGAACTTTATCCTTATTAAGTCTGGAGCATCCTTGGGCCAAGGGGACTCAATTTTGTATAAATGGTGGGTGTGGCCCCCCTTGGGGCAGAGGGCCGGGGGCGAATAGGGGAAATAGAGGTAAAACCTTTAAAATCCCTTTTCTACCATCGTGATTAAGGGATTTTATCCTAATTTAGTCTGGAGCATCCTTGGGCCAAGGGGACTCAACTTTGTATAAGCAGTGGATGTGGTCTCCCAGGGGGCAGAAGGGCGGGGTCCAATAGGAGAAATAGAGGTAAACTTTAAAATCCTTCTTCGACCATCGTGATTAAGGGATTTTATCCTTATTTAGTCTGGAGCATCCTTTGGCCAAGGAGACTCAATTTTGTATAAACGGTGGGTATGACCCCCCTAGGGGCATAGGGGTGGGGCTCTGTTTGAAATTTGTTATATCTCAAGTACTGGATGGATTTTTCTGAAATTTTATATGTACTTACAGCACCTACCATGGAGTGCTATATCTTTACTTCATACCAATTATTTTAAACATATTCAGATGAGCGATACAGGCCCTCTGGGCCTCTTGTTGGTATGTACAGTATCCTCCCCTTAATTTGGTTTTTGATAGAACTGTAGCACTGTCAGGTCAGGATTCTTCTGTTTACTGAGTATAGCTTAGTCAGTTAGAGAGATAGTATAACTATAGTAAAACGATCTGAAGGTCAGGGTTCTTCTGTTGACTGGGTATATTAGTCAGTTAGAGAGATAGTATAACTATAGTAAAACGATCTGGAGGTCAGGGTTCCTCTGTTGACTGGGTATAGAGAACTGTAGCACTGTCAGGTCAGGATTCTTCTGTTTACTGAGTATAGCTTAGTCAGTTAGAGAGGTAGTATAACTATAGTAAAACGATCTGAAGGTCAGGGTTCTTCTGTTGACTGGGTATATTAGTCAGTTAGTGAGATAGTATAACTATAGTAAAACGATCTGGGTGTCAGGGCTCCTCTGTTGTCTGGGAAGCTTAGTCAGTTAGAGAGATAGTATAACTATAGTAAAACGATCTGGTTGTCAGGGTTCCTCTGTTGTCTGGGTAGCTTAGTCAGTTAGAGAGATAGTATAACGATAGTAAAACGATCTGGAGGTCAGGGTTCCTCTGTTGACTGGGTAGCTTAGTCAGTTAGAGATAGTATAACTTGAGTAAAACGATCTGGAGGTCAGGGTTCCTCTGTTGACTGGGTATAGCTAAGTCAGTTAGAGAGATAGTATAACTATAGTAAAACGATCTGAAGGTCAAGGTTCCTCTGTTGACTGGATAGCTTAGTTAGTTAGAGAGATAGTATAGCTATAGTAAAACGATCTGAAGGTCAGGGTTCCTTTGTTGACTGGGTAGCTTAGTCAGTTAGAGAGATAGTTTAACTATAGTAAAACGATCTGGACGTCAGGGTTCCTCTGTTGACTGAGTAGCTTAGTCAGTTAGAGAGATAATATAACTATAGTAAAACGATCTGGAGGTCAAGGTTCCTCTATTGACTGGGTATAGCTTTGTCAGTTAGAGAGATAGTATAACTATAGTAAAACAATCTTGAGGTCAGGGTTCCTCTATTGACTGGGTATAGCTTAGTCAGTTAGAGATAGTATAACTATAGTAAAACGATCTGAAGGTCAGGGTTCCTCTGTTGACTGGGTAGCTAAGTCAGTTAGAGAGATAGTATAGCTATAGTAAAACGATCTGGAGGTCAGGGTTCCTCTGTTGTCTGAGTAGCTTAAGTCAGTTAGAGAGATAGTATAGCTATAGTAAAACGATCTGGAGGTCAGGGTTCCTCTGTTGACTGGGTAGCTTAGTCAGTTAGAGAGATAGTATAGCAATAGTAAAACGATCTGAAGGTCAGGGTTCCTCTGTTGACTGGGTAGCTTAGTCAGTTAGAGAGAAAGTATAGCTATAGTAAAACAATCTGGAGGTCAGGGTTCCTCTGTTGACTGGGTATAGCTTAGTCAGTTAGAGATAGTATAACTTTAGTAAAACGATCTGAAGGTCAGGGTTCCTCTGTTAACTGGGTAGCTTAGTCAGTTAGAGAGATAGTATAGCTATAGTAAAACGATCTGAAGGTCAGGGTTCCTCTGTTGACTGGGTATAGCTAAGTCAGTTAGAGATAGTATAGCTATAGTAAAACAATCTGGTGGTCAGGGTTCCTCTGTTGACTGGGTATAGCTTAGTCAGTTAGAGATAGTATAACTTTAGTAAAACGATCTGAAGGTCAGGGTTCCTCTGTTGACTGGGTATAGCTTAGTCAGTTAGAGAGATAGTATAACTTTAGTAAAACGATCTGGAGGTCAGGGTTCCTCTGTTGACTTGGTATAGCTTAGTCAGTTAGAGAGATAATTTAACTATAGTAAAACGATCTGAAGGTCAAGGTTCCTCTGTTGACTGGGTATAGCTTAGTTAGTTAGAGAGATAGTTTAACTATAGTAAAACAATCTGGAGGTCAGGGTTCCTCTGTTGACTGGGTAGCTTAGTCAGTAAGAGAGATAATATAACTATAGTAAAACGATCTGAAGGTCAAGGTACCTCTGTTGACTGGGTATAGCTAAGTCAGTTAGAGAGATAATATAGCTATAGTAAAACGATCTGAAGGTCAAGGTTCCTCTGTTGACTGAGTAGCTTAGTCAGTTAGAGAGATAGTATAGCTATAGTAAAACAATCTGGAAGTCAGGGTTCCTTTGTTGACTGGGTAGCTTAGTCAGTTAGAGAGATAGTATAGCTATAGTAAAACGATCTGAAGGTCAAGGTACCTCTGTTGACTGGGTATAGATAAGTCAGTTAGAGAGATAGTATAACGATAGTAAAATGATCTGGAGGTCAGGGTTCCTCTCTTGACTGGGTAGCTTAGTCAGTTAAAGAGATAGTATAGCTATAGTGAAACGATCTGGAGGTCAGGGT